ATAGAACAAAGAATACAAAGAATAATGTTCGAATTAGTGCAAGGTAAGTAAGATTAAACTAATGCTCAATCTCCGGCGATGGCACAAAAAACTTGTTCATGAAATATCGATTTCGATTTAAATCCGCAAGTGTATGGTTCGTAACAAGTAATAAATTTGAATTTAGAGTTTCGAATATCATTCCACAGAGATTGAGTTAGTTAAATTTTACCTATCTCGACCTTAACCGAAAGCAAATTGTCAATCTTGATTTGTTGTAATTAAATTTAACCCCAACTTAGACTAAATATGCAAATATATATGATTTGATTGAACTAAAATGCAAAATGAATGTGTTGAATGCAAGTTGATATACTCAATGATTAAGAAGCGCATTAGGATCATGAATTTTCAAGCAGTGCTCACTTTTAACCCTAGTTCCACAATTTGACAATACGTTGAATTTTTGAAGAATCAATGCTCCTAAATCTATCCAACAATCTCTCTTGAGTGATGTTGAACCTACTCCCATATACCACTAGCATATATCTCTATGATGGGTGTAAATATACAAGAATGCATGTGATTTTGTGAGCACTTAAAGATTTCTTAAAGCATAGAGGTATATCTCTATCCCTTATCAGATCCTACGATGATTTATACCTTGTCGAACTTATTTCTCTTCTCTCAAATGCATGAAATAATTCGCTACACACACAATTACGTACACATAATTATGAAAGAAACTAAGTATATATAAACCATTCAAAAAATTTCATAACATGTTTTGATGTCAATATTGTAAAACAATAAATCAAAAATTCACATCACAAAGTTCATCAATCTCTTAGTACATAAAAATCTAGTATAGCATGGATAAGGTAAGAAACAAAACGAATTTTGAAGAAGCAACATCACCCAATTAATTGTTGAATTGAATCTTCATGTCTTCTTCGTATTTCTTGCCTTTTCTATGCTCTCAAAATCCTTGAAAATATGTTAGAATGCATGGTGAATGTTTAGGGATGGCCTAGGGTTGTAAAATACCTCCCAAGATATGTTTCCATAGAATTTTAGTCAAATAAGGAAATCAAATTTTTTTGGCCTCCATAATTGTTCCTTGATGTTGGGTAGTCGCCCACTCAAAACAACTGGGCTGTCGGCTAGTTACAAAAGCTTCCGAACGTTTCATTTTGATCCCCAAATTCAATTCTTGATTCTTTTAGATCCTTTCTATTTTTTTATTTTCCCAATAATTCAAGTCCTCACTAAATTTATTCTTAACTCTTTCACATCCTTGTTTATGCTTTCTATCATCTTTTAGCTATTTGTATTTTGGTCCTTGAACTTTGATTTTCTTCCATTTTGGTCCTTTTTCGTTTCTTTTTTTCTTGAATTCCGCCACATTCATCAATATGGTCATACAAACCAAAATTGCATAGAATTAAGTTATATTCAACCAATTTTATCAATATTTAGTCATATTTTATGGACCAAATAAGTGTGTAAAAACGGACTTATCACTATGCATTGCGTGGTCTTTTTCAGTTACACAAAACTCAGTTTCCTTTTCTAATACAAACACTCATGGGAACCAACTTTTGATTTTACCTAATTTCGGCCTATATATACTCAAAATATGAGCAATCATTAAAGTAACCTTTCACATGTATATCATATTACATCATATCATTGAAATCGTTCAATTAATAGAGGTTAACTCATCATAACTGAAAGAGAAGAACAAACCTAGCAAGGATGAGAATGCAATTTACGTCAAGAGTGTGGGGAATCAAGGCTCGGAATCGAAGATCTAGAATAAGAAGTTGCTTCTACATATTTCTCGTATATATATATATTTTGGGTGATATCTTTTCATTCTTCCTCCTGTAAAATCATCACAAACATGCTAAGCAAGATCTTTCTTGTATTGGGGATAAAGATGAAATCTTTTGTTGATTATTTGTAATTCAAAGACCAATTCGTTTAGTTAATTTGTGTTCTTGATTGATCTTGTTTGTCTTGTTAAATTATTTAAATGCTTGTGCACCATTTAAGTAATTAATTGCTTATTATATTTTTGGGTGGTTTATGATATGTTTAGAACTTTGTAATTTCAACACAAGGGTGATAGATGTTAGTGACAACATATATAGCGTGTAAAATCATATAGATAATCTTGAGATTTAATGCAATACTTTGCATATAAATTAGAAATATGAACATGACCGTGTCGTACATAGAATAAGTTTGACTTACTTTGGGAGAGATAGTTAAATAAAATTGAATTATCGATTGTCAAGAATATACAAATCACACTTAATAATATAGGCTGAGAATTGAAAATAGGATAACAATATGTGGATTCGAATTTTTAACATATAATTCACATTTTTTTTTTGTTAAAAATACATTTAGATAATTAGTAAATTAACTTAAAAATAAATAAACAAACCAAATCCCTTTTGTGTTATATTTACATCTGAACTTGATCATGAATTAGTATGATTCAATTTAAAGTTTATTTTTCATGGGACGATACTCTTTACTTACTATATTACTATTTATTAACAACATTTACACTTACAAAATTTCATCAAATAGCTACCATCATGTACCACGATGTGCCTAACTTGGTTCTACGATGTGCTTGAATTGTTTTCTCAATATGCGCCATGATTTACCTGAACTGATGCCACAACGTACTTGAGTTACGACCTTCATAAAACACGATGTGGCTATATCAATATCTTCACGTACCAAAAATTTTGCCTTTGTGTGGCACGATTTTCCTACATTACTGAATTGTAAGCCACAACGTAATTGATTTGACACCTTCGCATGTCTGCAATACTTCCTTTGTGTGCTAGAATATACCTAACTTGGTGCCACGATGTGCTTGAGTTGTTGCCTTTGTAGCTACCTTCATGTGATAAGACACTACAATGTTGTCGCCTTCATTTGCTTTGATGTCCTTGACTCAATATCACGACGTGTTTGAGTTCCTACTTTCCTAATATAAAGTGGCTATATTTATTTCTTCGTGTGCTTGAAATTCTGCCTTTGAGTGCCACGATGTGCTTGCGATGCTACATTTGATTGCTACAACGTGTCTGTATTCTTGTATTTTTGCATTTATGTACTTATGCTATTGCCTTTGTGTACCACGATGTCATTGACTTGGTGCCATGTTATGATTGAGTTGCTGCCTTCATGTACCTACGTTGCTACCTATGTGTTCAACAATTGCCTACTTTGCTACCTTCGTATGCCTCAATATGCCTAATTTGGTGCTACAATGTGCTTGAGTTGTTGCCTTCGTATAACACAACGTGGTGGCATAGATACCTTCGTATGCCCGAAGTGCTTTCTTATTGTACCACAATGTACTTGGGTTGTTGCATTCGATTACATAGCCAAAGGAAATAGGCTAGGCCTAAAATTATCCCAAGTGTCACTAATGTTGCTACTAAGCTATTTTTTTGGAAAGCTCCTATTAAGATGAGAAATTCTCCGATAAAGTTCTGAGTACTAGGTGAACTCACATTCGTCAAAGTGGAAAATGTTCCTATTGAATGGCTTTTTTTTTTTTTACTAATGGTTGTCTTTTTGGTTGCTAATTTCATAGCGGGACGAGCAACGCTATTGCTCCTCTCCTTTTCCTAGCCTTCATTGAGATCGTATATGGTTTATTGAGAATCAGAAATATCATATATTAAATGACTTGACTCGTGAACGATGCCACAGTGTACCCGAGTTGTTGTATTCGTGTGCCTGCACTGTTACTTCGTGTACCAAGGCATGATTGTATTGCTGCCTTCACGTACCATGATTTGCTTGAATTGGTTCCATGGCGTGCCTGAGTTACTATCTTTATGTGATACGACGTGGCTGTATTTTGTCTTCTTATGCAAGAAATGTTTCCATTGTATACCATGATGTACTCGTGTTGCTGCATTCATATGTCACAATGAACTTGAGTTGCTGCTTTATTTATGTGTCTTGTTGCCTTTATTTACCAAGACATGCTTGACTTGGTGTTGCAATGTGCTTTCATTGTTGCCTTCATGCGCTTGACTTGTGACACGACATGCTTGAGTTATTGCTTTTGGGGACACAATGTACCTGTGTTGATGCCTTCTTGTGTCTAAAATGCTACCTTTGTATGCTACGATGTGCTTGCAATGCTACATTTGTGTTTGCGTTCCTTACTTTACGTGCCCACGTTACTGTCTTCATGTTCCAAGTGTGCTTGACTTGGTTACATGATGTGCCTAAGTTGCTGCCTTTGTGTGCACTACATGTCTGTATTCCTACCTTCGTGTACTATGATGTGCCTGAATTGGTGCCACTGCATGCCTGCGTTGCTACTTTTGTGTACTATGATGTCTTGTGTTGCTACCTTTGTATGTCACTACGTGCCTGCATTGGTACCTTCTTATGCTAGGATGTGCTTGACTTGGTGCCACAACATGATTGAGTTGACGTCTTCTTGTGCCTCCATTGTTGCCTTCAGTGCCATTACCTGTGGTACCTTCATGTGCTACGATGTAAAAGCCTTCTTGTGCCACGACATGCCTGTGTTGATGTCTTCATGTGGCACAATGCTTCTGACTTGGTACTTTAGTGTGTCCATGTTGCTGCCATCATGTGACATGACATGGCTGTGTTGCAGCCTTTGCGTGTCACAATATACTTGCGTTGCTACATTCGTGCGACATAACGTGCCTGAGATGCTGCCTTCATGTGCCTTCGTTGCTACATTCGTGATATAATGCATCTACCAATTAGGGCTTGTCCGGCTTGAGTTGAAAGAATAGCTCCTGCTAAATGGCTCGAGAGTTCAAAAGCATTTAGGCTTGCTTCCTTTTGAAGAAATACACTATGAAGACGTGCAAGCTGAGCAATGGTACCTCAGCACACTGAGAACGTGCCTAAACTAGCCAACGGATCTTTAGATGGAATATACAAGGGGGATTGGTTTGCATATTTGAATGATGGGGGCAGTTTTTGGAGAGTTATATCATGATTTCTTCATTTTCATTCATCAGAATTTGCTACAGTTTTGCATACATAGCCACTATACTAGCAGTATGATAGATGCTATATCTTTCCATCGACTTCTTAAACAAAAATGTAGTTTCCGATACAATGCTGTGTATATACTACTAATTGTTATTTATTGCAATATGACTTATCTCTTGCAGCCAATAGCACGCTTTGTTTTGATTGAAAACAATTTGATGCATTGAGCCTCCTCTATTCAAATGCGATCTCTATATCTTGAATTCAACACATTCCTTATCATCTCTCTCACTTAAAAAGTGTATTTTCCAAATAGAATCATTTGTCTTCAAGATGAGCTCGTGATTCGGGCCGGATATGAGTTGAAGTCAAGATGGTAGTAAATTACCTGGAATCACAGAATTATTTGGGTTTTCTGTATCAACATTGCTAAAAAATAACTAAGAAAAATAAAATAAAATGGGACAAGCAAAAAGTAAAGTAAGCCCCCGCAGCAACATTGCGATTAAAATCTCAGATCCATTCCTTGGGGTTGATGCACGCATCCAGCAGTTTCCATTCCTCACTCCCCTCTTCTGGTTGCTGCAGACAAAATAGTTATTTTACTTGAATAATCTACTCTTTTGCAAGGAAATATTCAGCCGAATACAAAGTTCATTAAAAGCTTACGTGGTCATATTCCCAACGTGCAGTCAGAGGAAGTGAGACAAGAATACTTTCAATTCTTCCACCAGTCTTGAGACCAAATGTAGTGCCACGATCATAAACCTTCAATTATAAAAAAGCTAGTAAAGTTAGAATATCCTTAAGCACAGTATTTGGTTGGAATATTATATACGGTTTCTTACCAAATTGAATTCTACATAGCGTCCTCTACGCAGTTGCTGCCATGCTTTGTGTCTGTCAGTAAATGGCACATCCTTCCTCTTCTCTATTATGGGTATATATGCAGGAATTACAGTATTTGCGCACTCTGTAGTCATTACACAGAATTATGAATGTAAGGGGTATCTTCAATCCATCAAGCACAGATAAGAATCAGATCCCACCTAATAATCACATTTTATTTTTATTCCAGTTCAAAGTGAAAAATGTTTTTGAACTTCTCTTCTTCTTTATAGCTTGTAAGTAGTGCTTCTGCCTCATATATAGAAAGATTGCCAACACCAGTTTATTGACTTCAGTACTTCCTAAAGAAAATTCGCAAGGATCCTCTTATAGGAAATTACCGGTAGCAAAGCAAAGGAGCATCTCTTGATCATAATCATTCAAATCATCAAAAAATATACCCCCAAGACCTCGCCTCTCCCCACGATGCTGCATAAAACATTAAATCACATTAAATCAATGAAGAGAAAAATATTGGCAAGAGTTAAGCTGTTAAAATAAAACATGGAAGTACAACAAATAAACAATGCAGTGCCATCTTTTAAGCTGCACAAGTACACATGCCCCCATGACCTACCAATAGTTGGAGACAACGAACTAGTGCGGTTGCATGAGGAAAAAGAACTGAAAGAACTTTTCAGCATCTCAAACTAAGATTCGGAATCGTGAAATTATCTTTTCCGTATTCTTCTACTGGCTATGGTCCTTCTAATCCTAGAACATGATCCTTAAAGATGATTAAGGGGTTGAACGGGAAGATCAACCCCCCTCCCGATGAGGTTATTTTGTTCAGTTCCTTCGACATGGTTCTCTCAAGCACCACTAGTACCTGAAAATATAAGATGTGAGCAAAGAAGCTCTTGTACTGTCGCGTTAACAACAGTTAGAGGATGCATGAAAGCCCTCTTTCTTCTACAATGCCCATAGACGAAGTGCTTCATACCAATGAATATCACATCAGACAGCATTTGTCTATAAGCAGATGAATTGGCCGAGGAAAATGCTACTTCAAGGGCTCACAGTCATTAAGAAGACTTTCAGTCTCTATGATCAGCAAGCAGCCGTTGAAGCTAGAGATCTTGAATACTTCACTTTTCCCCTTCCCAAATAGTCTTGACCTGTGTTGCTCGGACTCTCCAAAAAATGGAGGAGTATCCGTGTCGACACGGGATACAGATCAGATCCTTGGTTTTGAAATCGGACACGGCAGCAAAATGAAGAAGACGGCGGAAGGTGGAGTCTTGCTTCTAGCCACACCGAATTTCGTCTATGGAGATGTAGTTTTCTGGCCTTGCATTTGTTTGTAGATGCTTCTGGAATTCTGCTTCGAGTCTGGGAGATAGATGATAACAGAGTTGGGGAAGAAGACTAAGGAAAAAGACGAAAGGTTGCCCTAATTGATTGAAGTGGGCTTGGACTGGATTTTGGAATGTTTATGAGGGCTTTTGTAAACTCCAATACATATAATGAATGAAATTACAATTATTTTATTGGATAAGTTGTATGGTCACTCATTTAATTTGAGTTTATTCTTGTATTAATTTTTTATTTCTTATATTTATCTAAATGAACTGTTTATTTTGTAATTAAAATGATTCAGTGCTATATCCTTTTTTGATATTAAATTTAAAATTATTTCTATATTTGTTTGTTAATAATATATAAGACATTGACATTGATTTTTTCCTTTAATTTTTTTGAAATGTTATTTTAAAAAAAATATATATATATATATTTTGTAAAATGTATCCCCCGTATTCGTATCCAAAATTCAGATCATTTTTAACCGTATCCTTGTATCTTAATTTTTATAACGAGATGAATTTGACTCCTAGATATGTACTCGTATCCGACACCCACACCCGAGTCCAAGCAACATAGGTCTTGACTTAACATGGTGACAAAAAGTTAGAAAAGAATAAAGACTTAAGTGATCTGGAAATAAGGATTGCTACACACACGTTGCAGGAATAGTTAATCACATGCTCAAAATTTCCAAAACAGCAACATAATAATTTGATAACAAATTTCTCCAGGAGTCAAGATCCAATAACTTCATAACCAATAGATCAAGAGTCCAGTGATCCCATCCAACTTGTTACCACCTACCCTTGTACATCAACACCTATATTTCGTTGTAAATGCAGAGACGAAAAGACAGAAGACTGAATCAGGATGAGTATCTCAAGGGGCATTTCTAGTTTCAAGACAAATGGACTTTTTTGTTGTTTCAGCTCAATGATTCAGATGCATAGGGATGTTTATCAGGTAAGAGGAAACAGTTTGCCCCAAATATGCTTTAATTATAATTTCAATAATTGGGTCAGTTACCTGTTCGAATGGAATCCTCAAGCACTAGATAAAAAAAGATGTGACATGACGTCATAGAGAGGCCAATAAAGAATAAATGGCTATTGTTCGTGATATTTATCTGAGTTAGGATCTTACTTGCACTCTTGTAAGGCCTCTATGTACTATGCAAGACAATATTTTTGCCACCTTCGATGATGCATCATAATTTTTCATTTTATTGTAGTTCAGATTAGTAGGTTTTATTGCTCTTGGTTTAAAACCAGAGATTGGATAGTTTCCAAAAGTTGACTGGATACAGAAGTACAGATATAAAGAGAGTTCATCATTAAAGAGCCACCAACTGAACATAGGAAGAAAAAGAAACTCAAGAAAGGGGTGCATACAGATTGCAAAAATTAAGTTGTGCCCTATTATTTTGCTGCTCATTTTTCACATGTCAACAAATTTTAAATTCATATGCCTGAATAGTCTTTTGGCTTCACATAAATCTGGTCCACTTAATACACAATACACAAGTTAAAATACTGAAGCTTTCCCCAAGTTGACAGTCACAATATAAATAAACAGATGTACAGCATCATGTTAAATATGATAAGACAAACACAAATCTATGAAAGGCATACCTTAATGTAGAAATAATCATCGCACCATTTCTTGAATCGAGGATAGAAGCTAGCATCAAACTTGTCACAAGCGCTTTTTTGGGCCTAAATGAAGGTGAATAAGACTACGCAATAATAGTACTGATGGAAAAATAAATAGTAAGCAAGTTATTCTAGCTCTCCTATCAGCAGGATGACTCCTTTCCCCTCATTCAACTAAAAACATCATATGAGGAAAAGCTCATTTGATAGAGGCAAACCAGGTATCAGAGGCTTTTAAAACATCAAGAAACATCCGCTTCAGTGATTTACCACATTACTGTGTGAATTAGCCATATGTGCAAGAAACATTAACAACTTTCAACTATAAGAGGGAAGTTCCATAATTTTCCACAGGAAATTCAATCTTAGATCCAGACACTCCGTCGTGCAATATTATTATGTTTAAACAGAGCAAGGTTGTTTATACCAAATGGAAATGCTTGACATCCTCCTCAAAAATGTAAGCAGGAGTCAAATCTGTACCGCCACCAAACCACCATTGTCTTGGTGCTCCTGGAGTATCTGCACATAATTTGAAAATGAGTAACAATTTATTATACTTCAAATATTTTAGGTCTACCTGAAGAATATAAACAAGCATGATGAAGTAATATACAATAATGCGTGTGCGCAAAATGGCTACATACAAAACCCTTGTTTGATTTTTGAGGTTGAAGCTTATATATCTCGTTTTTCGGTTATTAGATATTTATAAGAAATTCACATACGGATTAAGTTCAAAGAATAAGAAAGTGTTCTCATTTCAACAAAAAGACTACTAAAACCTTCAAACCTCAAAATACAATGCAATTTATATTTCCTTTGAAATTTGCCCTATGCAATGTAATTTATAGCTCTTTGTTTTTTGCACAAATAATTCACTAGAGGTATACGTTTTTCTAAATCAGAATGCGGAAACTTTTAAAACTCACACAATGTCCTTCAATTATACAATGACTAGATATGTGTTTTAGGAGAGCTTTCGATCCAACAAGACGTAAACATTAACACTATGCTACGCATCCTAATTTCAACAGTTATGCAGCACAAGAAACCAAATGCTGCTCATGTTTACTTCCTAGAAACGTACTAGAAGCTTCAAAATTGACAACGATTTTTAGAGTGTATGTCAGTACCTAGGAATGTGTCCATAAATTGACAACAAAAGAAACAATAAAGATATAAGATATAATGAAATAAATCAGATCTAAGCTCACAAAAAGATAATCAAGTAATTAAAAGCATCTCACTTAATTATCTCTAGTTCTTTAAAATGGCTGCTATCTCTGTAACCAATAGCACCACATTTTATCAACAAGCATGAAGAATAGCATCAGAGCTTTCTGGTAGACTACTTGACTGAAAAGAACAAACAAGATAACTACTCGAAGAACCTCCACCACCATTAATCTCTAAACAATTCATGTTACTCCTTGAAAGTTGATATCTATAGTCCCCGAAGAAGACCTCAAAAATCAGCATTACAAATCTAGTTTGCATAAAGCTACAAAGTAGATTATCCATTGCTGATTATCTTCACGTTTGTTTTAAACTTTTTATTGGTGTACCAAACTAGTCTATTTTCTTTCTTCTTCCTCCTCTGCTTCATTTTTTTTTTAAATTTAAATTCTTCCACTGGGTCAGTGTATTTAATATTGGGCATCAGCTCTAGGATACGTTTTGGAAATTTGGGGCATCTGTCATGAGCCCAACAAGTCCAAAAGTCAATCATTGAGTCTTGCACCCCCAGATTAACTTCAAACAAACTTGGTCCAAAGTTTGCCTTTATACACATGACTATTCCATGTGGAAGTAAAACATCCTATGATGCATCTATTCTCTTGGGTGCGATAGTTTTGAGCTTTCATTGACTATATGTAATAAGAGACATTTTAAAAGCACACACCTTTTTCACTGGCAGCATTATGCACTGCTGCTCAATTCACAAATACCCTAGAAGGCTAAGCCCATACAAAAAAAATCATCAAAGAATTATAAATTGTGCTCAGACATACAAAATTCTCCAATGTAGAAAATACCTTTTGGAGCATCAGTCTCAAAATACCGATAATTAAAATGCAAAGTTGGAGCAAAAGGGTTCTTCGGATGTAGAACCTGGTGAACAAAAAAAGATAGTGCCTCGTTAAGCAGCTTCTCCCCTTTTAGCAGAAAGGATGGAAAGCTAACAAGTTTATGTAATAGTTGTTTGCATTACAAACTTGAGTAATCGCAAATTATGTTTGTTCTTGTATAGTGGAACTTTTTGAAAACAATGAAAAGAATTGGAATTCCTTCTTGAACATTCTGGGTTCATTTGAGATCTAACCTTGAGACAACATTCTGGCCGTAACATTTGACTTATACAAAACTTAAAAACATTTTTTACGTAGATGGACGCTGTTAGCGTATTTTTTCAATATGCTGCTTCTTCTTTTTTCTGCCTCTGTCAAACATAATTGCGCAGAAGGTATTAAATTCCTTAATTGATTGTTATTTCCTGCTAAGAACTTGTGAAATATTCGTTGACAATCTTGAGCTGAAGCTGAGAAACGCGAACCAACTAAAATCAATATTTAAACTTACTGAATTCAGTTAGAGATGTTAAGCTAATCAAAAAGGAAATAGAGAAGCAGAAGGAAATTACGGAGCTGATTCCTGCAGCGAAAAAGGGAACTGGACCAGGCTTAGTAATGCCGCTTTGAGAGGGGTTGGCTGCTCTATAAGCCTCGGGAGGCATAACGCCATACACAACAGAAACATTGACACCAGCCTTTTCCCAAACAGCGCCATCCTGCAAAACCCTGCTGATTCCACCACCACCACCAGGCCTGGACCACACATCTTCTTTGAACTTTCCAACTTGGTCCATAGCCTCTATGGCCGAGCAAACACTGTCCTGTACCTCTCTAATCATCTTCTCGAATCGAGCTCTCACCGAATTCGAAGTCGAGCTCTGGGAATGATTGTCGTCAGTTTCTCTGAGGAAAGTGTTGGGTCGTTGGGTCTTGGGCGTTTCCTTCTCAATCATGGGCGAAGATGATGATTGCACTTTCAGTGAAACGGCGGATGGATATGAGGGCTTGCTCCTTCTTGATAAATTAGCAAGATTGAGAATAGATGACGATGAGGGGGAAATAGCGGAATAGGAGGAGAGTGGGAATACGGCGGCGGAAGAAGAAGAAGCGACAAGTGTCGGCGTCTGCATCGCCGTCGTTGTGTTTGTTAGTTGGTTGGTTTCGCAGAAGGGTGAGATGAAGTGAAATGTAGCGGTCACACTTGATGAACGGATATGATATGAGGATGGCTGCCGCTGGTTATTGACTCGATTCATTTGGATAATATAACAGTATCAGTCTCAACCTTTATTGGTTTTCTTTCATTTATATAAGAATTTGCTATTTGTACACTGATTTTTGATACGTTGTTTGATATTTGCATTGTTGTCAAGTGTCAATTGGATGGAAAAACTGTTTGAAATTTAAACAGTCCAACAGGTTAATGACACGTGACAAAGTGTAAATTAATGTGTACACCATAGTGTACATGTCACAAGATTCTTATCGATTGAACTTTGCTATTTGTACACTAATTTTTGACACGTTGTTTGACACTTGTGTTGTTGTCAAGTGTCAATTGGATGAGAAAATTGTTTGAAATTTAAACTGTCTAAAAGGATAATGTCACGTGACAAAGTGTAAATTAAAGTGTACACCATAGTGTACATGCAGCAAGGTTCTTACCGATTGAACTTTCCTATTTGTGCACTGATTTTTGACACGTTGTTTGACACTTGCATTGTTGTTAAGTGTCAATTGGATGGAAAAACTGTTTGAAATTTAAACTGTACAATAAGGTAATGTCACGTGATAAAGTGTAAACTAAAGTATACACTCTAGTGTATATGTGGTAAGGTCCTTACCGATTGAACTTTACTATTTGTACACTCAATTTTGACACGTCGTTTGTCACTTGCATTATTGTCAAGGATCAATTGGATGGGAAAACTGTGACGGCCCGAACTTAAGCTTCGAGAGTCACGTACTAAGCATAATAGCTTCTACCCTTGGTACATGTAAATACTTTTAAATAGAAGTATTACATGTTAGAAACTTATTTTTCAATTTGGTAAAACAATTTTTTATAAAATTTGATGGCCGGTAAAAGTGCATGTCAACATGAAATTATACATTACATATACGGCCTCGGGACTATCAAGGTTAGTTGGGGCAGCAAGTTTGACGATTTTTATAAAATTCATCCCAACCCCGTTTTATATGAAATTTGTGGAATTAGAAAGATAATTTCAAGTAATTTTCTAGGTTAAAATATGAAAATTTTCTAAGATCATATAATATAGACGTTTTACTGAAAATAGTGAAATATTACACAGGAAATCCAGATTGACCCCTTGACGTTAAAACCTTGATAACTCAGGCCATAGATATCCAAATTGAGTGATTCCTTCGGCCATATTTAGAAAACTCAAAGAGGAAAACAGACATATTTTTAGAGTCTCAAATGGACGTTTATAGAGTTAGAAACATCATTTTGAAATTGACTCTAGAAACTGTCCCGTTTCTGCCTTTTGTCTCTTGTAAGGAAAATAAACTACAAAAATGTCTCTTATTATAACATGAAGGATATAATTACAAAATTTACTATTAATACCATATTACATCATGTCATGTACATATTTTTTACATAATACCATAAGAAAAATAGATGGAAAAACAGTCATCGAGCAAAACATACAAAAGAAAACTTTCAGTACAAAACATCTTTGTCCTTAATCCATCATCGATTTCGCCAACTAACTTTCATCAATCCAACGATCATGGATCTGAAAATTTAGCATAACATACTATGAGTATAAGAAATACTCAGTAAGATACCATGCTTGGATTTTTATCATGATAATACTACACAAAAGAATGCAATCAAATCCATACTTGCACATTCCGGCTTGCCGGTGCCCTTCAGACTTGTCCTAAGGCATAAATAGATATCTAACTTTGTGGACTTGTCCACCATAATTGTATTGTGGTTTTTCATGCATAGTTTAAGCATAAATATTACCATGAAGATCATACCCCTTAAGCATAGAAAGTATCTTATCGTAAAACTTGAAGATCTTCGATTGAAATATGAATTGAAAGTGCTAGGTTTACTTCCTTCTCCTTTCCTTCTTGTTTTCGGTTATTGCTCTTTATTTGAGTGTATAAGTGTTTGTAAAGTGAAGGAAATTTTCTCTATGGCAATGGATATGGACGTATTTATATATATATAAGGATAAGAATAAATGATTGATATTTTTTTCTTCTTTTTTTTTTTCCTTATTTGTACACATGTTTGGTCTATTATCTAAGTGTATGGTGATGATGGATGACAAGTGGGTTGATTATAGGGTAATAAGTGGCTACAAAACCTAGATTTACAAAGGAAATCTCTTATCTTTTCAACTAATATAATCTAACCCCTCTAACTTTTATTATTAGCAAAGCATATCCTAAATTTAAACTTGTATCCAACTTACATATTCAAAAATTGTAGATTGTAAAATAATTAAATCGTTTGGTCAATTGAAGTCCTAACAAAATAATCCACTTGATTCAAATTCAAACTTAAGTTTCGACTAACTAATATTAACTTCATGCGCACACAACATTTAGCACTTCATGCGTATATTCATTAACTACCTCTAGCATTAACCACTACAAAGGTGGTGCCCCCCTTTTCTTATGGCCAAAATAATATTAAAAGTTAAATCGCTATCCTAAAGAAATTTAAACCAGCATAAAATTTCGGAGTATTACAAAAACTGTTTGAAACTTAAACTGTCCAACAGGGTAATGTTACGTGACAAAGTGTACACTATAGTGTACATATGGTAAGGTCCTTAGCGATTGAACTTTACTATTTGTACACTTAATTTTGACACGTTGTTTGTCACTTGCATTGTTGTCAAGTGTCAAATCGATGAAAAAACTATTTGAAATTAAAATTGTCCAATAGAGTAATGTCACGTGGCAAAGTGTAAACTAAAGTGTACACCATAGTGTACATGTAGCAAGATTTTTACCTTTGAACTTTACTATTTGTACACTCATTTTTGACACGTTGTTTGATACTTGTATTGTTGTCAAGTGTCCATTGCATGGAAAAATTGTTTGAAATTTAAACGGTCCAACAGGGTAATGACACGTAGCAAAGTTTAAACTAAGGTATACATCATAGTGTACATGTCACAAGGTTCTTATCGATTGAACTTTACTATTTGTACACTGATTTTTGACGTGTTTTGACACTTGCATTGCTGTTAAGTGTCAATTGGATGAGAAAACTGTTTGACATTTAAACTGTCCAAAAAGGTAATGTCACGTGGCAAAGTGTAAACTAAAGTGTACACCATATTGTACATATAGCAAGGATCTTACCGATTGAACTTCGCTATTTGTACACTGATTTTTGACCTTTTTTTGACACTTGCATTGTTGTCAAGTGTCAATTGGATGGGAAAACTATTTGAAATTTAAACTGTCTAATAGGGTAATGTCACGTGGCAAAGGACAAACTAAAGTGTAAACCATAGTGTACATGTAGCAAGGTTCTTACCATTGAACTTTTTTATTTGTACACTAATTTTTGACTCGTTGTTTGACACTTGCATTGTTGCCAAGTGTCAACGGAACGGGAAAATTGATTGAAATTTAAACTGTCCAATAGGGTAATGTCACGTGGCAAAGTATAAACTAAAGTGTACATGTTGCAAGGTTCTAACCGATTGAACTTTGCTATTTGTACACTGATTTTAGACACGTTGTTTGACACTTGCATTGTTGTCAAGTGTCAATTGAATGGAAAAACTGATTGAAATTTAAACTGTCCAACAAGGTAATGTCACGTGGCAAAGTGTAAACTAAAGTGTACATGTAGTAAGGTTCTTACCAATTGAATTTAGCTATTAGTACACTGATTTTTGACATGTTACTTCACACTTGCATTGTTGTCAAGTGTCAATTGGATGGGAAAGCTGTTTGAAATTTAAACTATGTAACAGGGTAATGTCACGTGGCTAAGTGTAAACTAAAGTGTACACCATAATGTACATGTAGCAAGGTCATTACCGATTGAACTTTGCTATTTGTAAACTGATTTTTAACACGTTGTTTGACACTTGCAATGTTGTCATTTGACAATTGGTTGGAAAACTGCTTGAAATTTAAACTGCCCAACAGGGTAATGTCACGTGGCAAAGTGTAAATTAAAGTGTACACCATAGTGTACATGTTGCAAGGTCCTTACCGATTGAACTTTGCTATTTGTACACTGATTTTTGACACGTTGTTTGATACCTGCATTGTTGTCAAGTGTCAATTGGATAGAAAAGCTGTTTGAAATTTAAACTGTCCAGTAGGGTAATGTCACGTAGCAAAGTGTAAATTAAAGTGTATACCATAGTGCACATGTAGCAAGGTCCTTACCAATTGAACTTTGCTATTTGTACACTGATTTTTAACACGTTGTTTGACCCTTGCATTGTTGTCAAGTATCAATTGGATGAGAAAACTGTTTGAAATTTAAACTGTCCAATAGGGTAATGTCACGTGGTAAACTATAAACTAAAATGTGTACCATAATGTACATGTTGTAAGGTCCTTACCGATTGAGCTTTGCTATTTGTAAACTGATTTTTGACATGTTGTTTGACACTTGCATTGTTGTCATTTGACAATTGGATGGAAAACTATTTGAAATTTAAACTGTCCAATAGGGTAATGTCACGTGGCAAAGTGTAAATTAAAGTGTACGCCATAGTTTACATGTAGCAAGGTTCTTATCGATTGAACTTTACTATTTGTAAACTGATTTTGGACACGTTGTTTGACACTTGCGTTGTTGTTAAGTGTCAATTAGATGTGAAAACTAATTGAAATTTAAATTGTCCAACAGGGTAATGTTACGTGGTAAAGTGTAAACTAAAGTGTACACCATAGTGTACATGTAGCAAGGTTTTAACCGGTTGAACTTTGCTATATGTACACTGATCTTTGACACGCTGTTTGACGCTTGCAATGTTGTTAATTGTCAATTGGATGGAAAAATTGTTTGAAATTTAAACTGTCCAACATGGTAATGTCACGTGGCAAAGTGTAAATTAAAGTGTACACCATAGTGTACATGTAGTAGGGTTCTTACCGATTGAATTTTGCTATTAGTACACTGATTTTTGACATGTTACTTCACACTTGCATTGTTGTCAAGTGTCAATTGAATGTGAAAGTTGTTTGAAATTTAAACTGTCCAACAGGGTAATGTCATGTGGCAAAGTGTA